CTGCAAACACACCTATTCAAGCAACATTAGTGTCTGGTCAGGCACTGTGTTTTTTTATTTGATCATTTTAATGGATTATAATTTGTAGGCATGATATCACATTACTTTCTTTTTAGTTATTCGTTCCCTTTTTTTGTAGTGTGTTTTGCCCTAATGCCGTCTAAGAAAAATGCCATTGTTTCAGTGTTTTTGGTTTCTTTTTCCATCTTGCTTTCTGTAATAAATATATGTATTTATCTTTACAAAATGCTTTTTAAATTACCATTGAGAAATGTAACTTTTTTGGGATGAACACAGGAAGAGGGACCAACAATAGCAATAGCATGCTGCCTACAGAAACCCATTTTAGAATTACATTACAGGACTGAACATGTTATTAAATTACAGTCTATGAGCTGTGCTCCATCATCTCTTTGAGTTTTGATAGACTGATGCATTTTACATATTCATGTTTGCTCCTTTCTGTCTACCAGGTTTGACTCCATGGCTTAGAGTGACTCTGGACTGCAACTAGCCTGGACATCTGTTTCCTATTTCCCTTGCCGTCCTCTGCTACTACAGGTATGAACTGATCAACTAAAAAAGAGTTTTACTATCAATACATCAACAATTGGTATACATTTACAAACATAGCCTTTGGTTTGCCTTTGTGTTGTTGGAGCAGCCTGTCACCAATTTCTGGTTGAGGAGGTTGTGGTCATGTATTTCTTTTTTCACCATCCCCCTCCTTTTGTATGTGTGTACTTTCTTCTTTCCTTCTCTTTCATTAGATCCCAATCAAAATGTGGATCCCATAAAGCTTCTTTGAGCTAAGGATATTAGCTCCAGGGCCAAATACTTAAAATGGGAATCAAGTGCTATTTATCTTTCCACCATAGTTTGTGATCCAACTCTTTGTTACTACTGAGATCTGTCACAGAACGTCACTGAGGTTGAACTGTTGAACATCAAGGCTGTGATTCTGTCTGTAGCATGGTGTTTTAGTGGCCCTCAATCATCATTAAGGGGACAGAAAGTGGCTGCGGGTCAGAAGCCAAGTTTTAGAAAGTGGGGTAATTTTGCAGTGGTGACCGGATTCATCGTGCACCAATTCAGATTGTCGGTAAATGGCCAAGTGAACTGGGATTGACTCCCATGTTAATACTTGATATCTGATTGGTGGGGCAGATTCCCGTGTCACTTTACGTATTGCAAACAACTAAAATTCAGTGTGTGTTTGTTAAAATATTTTTTCAGAGCATTCTTTATGCCAGCAGATCAAGAGATCATGAAACATTGGGTTTGGGATTTATTATGTTTGGATACATGACATGGCATCAGCGTTCAGCCACCAGAATGGACAGCCTTCAGACATGTTATCCCACATAGTCTCCCTGTGCCGTCTAATGCCTTTGGCACTTTAAGTGCCTACAGGGAGAAATACAAGCAGCCATAGGAACACAGTGGTTCTCAGCCAAAAGCAACACATCAGGATGGTTAGTAAAGAGTGCTTAGATCCTGGAATGGATGCATGTGGGTGCTGCTGGAGAGCGATAAATAGCATACACATTGAGACTGAGCAGTCTGTCATCTGCTGGTTAAGAGACTGTTGGGAAGCCATGGATACTAAACTGTTTGTTTTGCTCCCTGAAATGTTTCCGTTCCCTCTGTTTGAAACGGCCACAGCGACGTCATATTCCAGATTATGAAGCCTGTCTGAACAGAGAGAACATTCATGCATTAACTGGCGTTGTTTCTCATGAGCAGTGGTTTGAAGTGATTATTCAGTAATAATAGCCAACCCAGCTCGTTTAATGAATAATTTGGGCTGCGACTGAGCTCTTCCAGATGGCTGAAATGAAATGCCACCCTTAGCATTTCACCAGTTGGGTGAAGTAGTCATACCAACAGGATGATGGTTATTATTCTGAATTACTGATATTCATGAGGAGCCCACAAAGTATCCTTGCGTTATGTGTTTGTCCTGTTTTTCCCTCTTAAGTCATTCACTATTCTTCTTTCTTTTATCCACGCAGGTAGCAGTGAGACATATCCAAAGGGACGGTGACCCATACCCCTGTCGCTTGCCTGGGATCCCCACGCAATCACCTCCCGAGGCAGGATGGAGCCCCAGGCCTCTCAGGGGCAGCTAGGCGCAGAGGGGGACTGTGGGATGTTAAATCTGCTGTTGCCCAGTCCCCAGAGCGAGGCAGTGACCCATGAGATGGAGGAGTTATCGCTGCAGCCCACACAGAGTCTGCCTCCACTTAATGAACGCAAAAATGGTGAGGACGTGCTGATGTACAAGCCTATTATGGCATGCTAGGACGGAAGTGACAATAAACAGACCAAAACAATTCTGTACATAACACAGGAGGTATTAAATGACAGGGCAAAAAAAACATTAAAGAAATAATATATTCCACTTTTAATTATTCTTAGATTTATCAAGTATAATGTCCCAAATTATTTACTGGCTTCAGCCTCACAAAGATTTTGCTAGCTTCTATTGAAGTTGAAGACTTTGTTGTGGTCAAACAAGCATCCTTTCTCTTTATTAAAAAACTGATGAACCTTTACGTTATTTGCCTCTTCCATGCTAAAATGTTTTCAAATTATATTCATCTTTTGACACATTCTATATATCTCATGTGTATTATTTGTTTAAACACATATTGCACTCTGTTACACATTGGCTACTGTAACGGCTCAATGAAACTCAGATGAGTCAGCAAGGTGATAGCAAAACTGTCACTGTCTTGTGGTTATTGCAAAATGGCTGTGTGCAGCTGTCCACTGTTTGGCTGTGAACATCATCATACTTGTACTCTTATTCTGCTCCTGATTTAACTGAATGATAAGTTGGCACAAAATGAAATAACTGAAGAAACAACACTGATCACAATCAAGCCAAACAAGATGCTGCCTGCATACTGTGAATAGAAAAAAAACATCTATAAAACCCTATAAACTTTTTTTTTTTTATAGGAAAACATCAGATAACAACAAAACAATAACAATAGAGGGGACTTAAGGGTGTAATTGAGGAACACAAATTAGTTAGACAATAAAATTGGGTCTCTAAAGACCCAAGGAATGCATATAGAGGGTTAAAAATGTGGAGCAACCGCCTCCCTAAATACACTCACAGAAATTAAATTCCACATAAATCACACACACAAGCATAACAGCTGATATAAGTAATAACATTATGCTCCCTGCCTTTGTTGCAACTCTTCCAACATGGTGGCACGTACTGTGTGTCAGCCCTGCTTAGCCTTAAATACCTTTCAAGCATAGATGAACTACACACAGTTCAAAAATGCATGTACACATGCACGCGGGCACGTAGTCCCTGAATCAACTAATGGGCAAAATGGGCAACAAAAGTCCTCAACTCCTAAAACCTCCATCAACTTTTCTTTTGTACAGTTCTCGAAGGAAATTATCTTCATGCTAGTCAGCCTGCATGTTCGCTTCTCATCACCCTCACGATGTTGGTGTTATTTTGGCAGCCACATGGGACTGACTCAGACACTGATGGATGGGTACGTGATTAACAGGCTTTAGGAGTGGGTTAGATTCACTGCTGCATTTGCCAGTTCCTAATCATGGCTTAGATGGTGTAGGGAGATCAGTCCAGTGCAATCACTGCAATATTGATCACCATGCTTAGGAAAATCTAATTTGTCAGATACAGTCAACAAACGCAGGGTGTTTAGCCAGAGCTATTCCAGACTGGATTAAACATGTTTCGGATAAATGTAGGATTCTGAGCCATGGTACACGGTGGCTGCTGCTGTCTGCAGGAGAGCGCAGTAAGATGTCTTAACGGTGGAAAAATCTTTGTGGAATGTCAACAGTAGTAGCACCCACTCATCATCTTGGCTTTTGTCATTTCCCCTCAAGTGAGAACACACACCTCATACTTTCCACCCTCTGAGCCATCCCCAGCACTTGGCCAACCGCAAAGTTCCCTCTCTCATATTGGTTTTAACATGCAGGTGTTAATCTGTCTGCCATCGTGACAGGTCTGAGTGTCTGAGACCACTCCAGTTGTGTGGGGGACAGGAGGCTGTAGCTCAGAGTCTGGAGGAGAACTGCTCTGTCAGCAGAGTGGGACGTCAAGACTCAGGGCAGTGAGTTTGTTGTGACAGGGAATGAGAGTTTGGCCAGTAAGAGGTAGCCTGTGACGTGAAATCAATAAGGTTATTGATGAGAGCAAAATCCTGCCGAGGGTTTTAAGGAGTCCACAGCTTGAAACAAAAGGTAATCTCAAGTTTATCACGTGTATATGGCCCAACTTTTAGACTAAAATAGGATCTCCACATGATAATCGGCTACTTTAAAGTAGGAGTCCTCAGAAGTAGTTTGAGTAGTTTATAAATAGTAAATGTTTCCTGTGTTTGACTCTATAGAGACTTTGCAAAGAAATTGTTTTTTGAGTTACTTCTTTGTCTGTTGTACAGAAAGACCATCACAACTGTGCTGTTGTATTTGAATTATTTTTGGATTCAGTCAGACGTTCAAAAAATAGGCCAGAGTCATAGATGGGTGCCCACACCCTCCCTGTTGCACCTATCCGGGTTTAGCAATGTATTTAACACTCAGTGTTTCTGTTGCAGCTCCGAAACATGTCAGTCTTGACAAATACAAATGTCACCCAATGTGAGGTCTCTGGTTGCCTATGCATTAGTGGTATATTGATATTGTCATTTATATTTTAAAATGATTGGGACAGTAGTGTCGATTTCTTTCTTTTATCAATTCGCTTTAAAGGAATAGTGCAACATTTTGGGATATATATATACTTATTAGCTTTTATTCTCAGAGTTAGAGGAGACTGCCACCACTCTCATATCTGCCTATTTCATATGAAGCTAGAGCTATTTTAGTGTTAGCTTAGATTGGAAACAAAGGGAATTACCTTACCTGGCTCTGTCCAAATTTGAACAAAATCGGCCTACCAGCACCTCTAAAGTGCATTAATTAACACCTTGTGTCTTGTTTGTTTCATTTGTACAAAAACCAAAGTGTTAAAACAGTTACCAGGATTGTGTGTGGGACAATTTCTTGTCTGGTTGCCTGGTAACCTCATGGTGATGTTTTTACACCTCAGTTTTTGTACTTGTTAAACAAACGAAATATAACGTGTTAATTGGTGAGTTGAAGAAGTGCTAGTAGGCAGATTGTGTTACCTTTGGACAGAGCTAGGCTAGCTGTTTCTTTCTGTTTCCAGTCTTGATGTTAAGCTAAGCTAACCGGCTGCTGGCTCGATGTTTATATTGAACAGATCAGTCCGACCGTCAGTAGTAGGAAGGCCAGAGCGATGGCAGATTGTCCACTAATCAATCCATCATTTTTCGTTTCACACATTTCATCAGCTATAATGACCAACTTGTGTCTTATTCGGGTTGTTGAATGTTTTAAATCCACTGCTAGATTAATATTAAAGCGCTCACTTTTTGACTGCAGGTGAAACAGACTCATTTTTATGCTAGCCTGTGTTTGCTCCATTGATCTGCTGACCAGCCATATATGTGTGTGCCTATCTCTGTGTGTATAAACAGCTTAGTCATGTCGTCTAGCTCTCCTCAGCCTGCTTAGGTCACAGGTCGGCGTCTGTTTGTCGGGCTGAGCAACATTTCCCGGAGGAATTCAGGACAATGCCACATACTGGAAGTCTGCATATATCACCTTAAACAAACATACCCGCTGCATACCTTTCTCCAACTATTTACTGAATTCCGAATTGTTCATTTAATTCAGGGATGTACAGCTCCTTACCAACAAGCCCTGCAAAATATCCGTTTAAACAGGGGCCAGGGTAAATGTCTGTAAATGTTTCACTACATGTTTAGTTGAAAGCTGCAGCATTCCCAGTCAAAGTATGCAAAAGGTTACAGTTTGATGTGCAACAGTTTGATGCAATCTGTGGTCTCACCCTGGGAGACTTTCACCCAGTTTATGTTTATCACCTCAGCATGTTTATGACAATAATGAATGGACACCAGACAGATGAGAAACACAAAAAAGTTAAAGTCTGTCACGCCAGCTGCTTTCTGTTGAAGCAAGAGAGTTTGTTTTTCACTGTAGGTTTTGGCCCTTCCTGTGAATGGAGAAGTGTCTTTACTCATGATCAGTATTGCATTCTTGCAAATCTGCAGGTCTTCCAAGGTATTATGCTCGGTACGGATTTAAACTCTTGACCTGTCTTTAGTAGTTACAAGGAACCAGCATAGTTCTTTACTCCAGGCTATGTTGGAATTGCCGTGAGGCAGAAAACAAACCCATCCCAAACTGGCTGAGTGAGAGAGGGAAGTGAGTGAACAAGAGGAGGAGGGGGTTGTGGCCCTGCAATAAAAAAAATGAGGGGAGGAGTAGATGAATAAAGGACGGGCCTAATGTTGTCTCTGAAATTTTTAACACTGGATTCTTATCGTTCGGTTGATCATGTTGCACTGCCGCTGACGGGATCGAGAGAGAGGCTGACACTTCAAATAATGGCTTAATCCCTTAGTTGTATTTTGGACTGCTCAACAGGCCAGAAGTCTCAGTGTAAAGAAATGGCCTGTATGGAGGTAGAGACACTCAGTGACTGCTGCACTCACTTCAGAGCAGGTGAGCACTTGCCTTCCTTGCTGTTATTGTCATGATTGCTCAACTGAAGTGAGCTAATGCAGTTGCCAGCTTGTCCCGGAGTTCTGGAAGTGTTGAGGGTTGATACAACATTGTTTACGGGTATTTTGGTCATGACCTCTTGTGATTGCTTCATACCTCGTGCCTCGTTTTGTTTCTGAGAAGCAGGGGTCGAAAAAGATTTCAGGACATAATAAAAGCTTGGGAAATGTGTTAAGTTAGGCTTTGTAGGAAAACAGAATGAAACACCATCCTATTCTGAAAGGCTATATATGAAATTCTCTTGCCACTAGATATCAAATTAGAGCACCGACATGTCAGACTAAAACAGTGGGCGCTACAGCCGACCAGATTCCATTGACAAAACCAGCAATTTTACCTCGTAGAGGATCGTAAAACACACTTCAAACTGGATGTAGTTTAGATTAGTCCTTCCAACGATCACCAATGCTAGTTTGGTTGAAATAAATCTTTTAATTCGAAGTTAAATGAGAAAATAGCTGTGTTTAACTTCAGCTAATCCTTGGAGAAAAGTTTGCCAGATTGTTTTTCTAAGTGTCAAAACAGCCCGTATAACACTATCGGCTGCCACCACACACCATAGACAAAAACAGTCATTTCGCCTTGCATATCATCATTACATCGTAACTTCATCTAAAGTGGACAGAAATCAAATAAAACTCACCAAAAGTGTCTTTGTTAGTCTTCCCACGGTTCCAACAATCACCAACCTCTGCTTTGCTTGAAATAAATCCTTAATTTACTGACATAGATGAGAAAAACAGTAGTTTCAGTTGCTTTTCTTCTCACACGGAAGGACTCGCATGCGCAACATACACAGCTGGCCAGATCGGCTTGTAAAATAACGCAGGTAGAGGAAGTGTGATGTCCTTCTCGTCTCAGGACACCATTACTTCACTAAACCTTTTTACAGCAAAAAGTTGTTGTTGCTGCTATATTAATGTTTTAAATCTCATATAGAACTTTTAAAAGGCTTTAAAGGACTGAAGTTGTACTAGGTAACTCTCAGAAGTGAAGCTACAAACAAATCCCACAAGATCGGACCAACTGTTTTGAGTTAAAGTCTCCTCTGCCGGCTCTTAATGGCTGCACAGGAATAGCTGATATAAATTCACCACATTACCATGCACTTCAGAGTGTAAAAAGTGTTTATACGAACGCGGCCGACTGGTAAGATAAGTTGAGTTCTGAGTATATAATGCCTCTTATAGAGTGACGTTATCGTATGTTGGAAAACTAGTGACTAGAGAGCAGGATATGAGTGATATATCGGGGTGGGGAGAAGTTACTATGTGGTTACCTTTTTAGTCTGATCTCATTTTTCTTCCCCTTTTATTTTTAAACACTACCTCATCTCCTTTCTGCTTTCCATCATGTTGTTCTTTTTTCTTCTACTATTTTTTTCTACTTAACATCACAATCAACATTTTTCTTTTATACATTTTTTTTTCCCTTTTTGTTTTCAGTCCTGCAGTTGAGGCTTCAGCAAAGGCGAACCCGGGAGCAGCTGGTGGAGCAGGGCATCATGCCACGTGAGTATCAGCACTGCCAGTTGTCCATCACTCACTGAAAAGCTACTGTGGTGTGGGCGTGAAATACGATAACAAAATCTGACCTTGATAGCTGAGATAATAAACATGTTTGCTCAATTTTTTTCCCCATCAAATCATTTGTTTACAAACTTGCAAAAATAAAATGTTGTGTTTTGCAGCTCTGAAGAGCCCGGCAGCTTTCCATGGGCAGATTCGCAGTTTGGAGCGAGCGAGGGTAAGGCACCCAGTTTGGAAATAAAGTGCTAAATGTGGACTGAGAAGCAGAATAAAATAACTCCTTGACTGTTGTGCTATTCAGTACAGCAGAACAGAACAGCACATGAACATTTAGATGATTTACTGACAGTTCTGTGTCCGTCTTTCTCTTTAGACTGAGAATTTTCTCAAGCACAAGATCCGCAGTCGTCCAGAGAGAGCAGAGCTGGTCAGGATGCACATCCTGCAAGGTACTACTGTAGTTCTCATTACATACACTTGAATTATATAATATTCCCTATAGAGCTTTAACTAAAGCATTGGAATAAAAAGACTGAACATTTTGATCTTCCTGTATGCTACAGACAAACGTTTATTGCAAGCATTTACTCAGTTGGCACCAGACACTGTGCTGTAAACAAATATTTCACCAACAAGAAATCTAGAAGTAGAAATATTCTCTTTGTGTGACTTTTTTTCATTCCCCAGAGACTGGAGCGGAACCATCACTTCAGGCCACCCAGATGAGACTGAAGAGGGCCCGGCTGGCCGACAACCTGAACGAGAAGATCGCCCAGAGACCCGGTCCCATGGAGCTGGTGGAGAAAAACATCCTGCCGGTGGATTCCACCCTTAAACAGGCAATAATCGGTAAGAGACAGTGATGATAGAATGGTTTCTGCTTTAATAGACACTATCAGCAAAAGGTCTTTGTTTGGTCAACCATGCAGGGTACTGGAGTGAAATTATGATAAAACTTCCATTACTGTGCTTTGTTGTTGTCTCTCAGTGGGCCAGGTGAACTATCCTAAGGTTCTGGATGAAGACAGCTACGATGCCCTGTCCCCGGAGCAGCCAGCCAGCCAGGAGTCCCAGAGTTCTGTCCCCTCTCCAGCAGAGAGCAAAGTGCCAGAGACGCCCTCTCCAGCCCCAGCAGCACCAGCACTACCCAGCCCCCTGCTGCAGGTCAGATCTAGGACTGGTGTTTGTGTATACCTGCTCTAGTAGCTGCAGATTTGTGTTCAGTGTTAGCTTCGCAGTTATAAGTGTCTTTGTGTTCTGCTTCTTCAGGCATTCCCAGTTGTTACACAAGCAACAACAGACTTTGTGAAAGTGATCTCTACCAATGAGCCGCCTGCCAGCCGCCCAGCTGTCACTCCTGCACAGCCAGTCACCACAGCTGCTCCTTCCAAACCAGGCCCAACACTGGTAAAAGTAAGAGCATTTCTTTCTACCTCCTAAATATATTGTCACCTCTATTGTATCTGAACGCTGCTGGACAAAACCCGTATGTACTCCCACAACAGCAAAGCCAGCAGAAGACGCCCTCAGAGAAGAGCCGCAGTAAGAAGGGCAAAGAGCCCAAACCCAGGGTGAAAAAGCTCAAGTACCACCAGTATGTTCCCCCAGACCAGAAGCAGGAGGCCAGTGAAGCACCCATGGACTCCTCTTATGCCCGACTACTGCAGCAGCAGCAGCTGTTCCTCCAGCTGCAGATCCTCAGCCAGCAACAACAGCACTACAACTACCAGACTATATTACCAGCACCACTCAAGTATGCATATAAACCCTTACAACTAAAAAACTAGAAACTAGACAAAATAGTAGTTGTGTTGTTTTATTTCTACCTATATGACAGATTTATGTTTTTCAGGCCATTTTTGTGTTTTCTCTAAAAACACAAACTGGTTTGGCTTGCCTCCATGACTCTTTATCTAAAAATACCTGATCGCAAGCCAAATGTTGTTGTTTTCACTGACCTGAGGGCCATTAGCTAGTTTCCAATAACAACTCTGCATCTAATCATATTAATAACAGGATGTTTTCATGAATGTCCTCACAGCAGCAGCATGGCCAAGCTCCCTTTGAACTGTGCTAGTTCACTGTGGTTTGGTTGACTGGCTTTGTTAGTGTGAGGCGCAGGGCACAGGATGGATGGCCTGTTCATATTGGAAACATATTTCCTCTCTCTCTTTCCTGTCTTTCTCTTTTCTCTCTCATCAATGATCTACTCCTTTGTCTACCTCCCCTCCATGACCCAAATCGTCTTCCTCTTTTTCTGTTTCTCATCAATGTGATACAGAAGTATTTTCAGTTATTTCCGGAACTAACAATGACCTCATCTTGGTGTCTCTTTCTCTCTGTAGACCTGTGGCAGACGGTCAGAGCAGCAGCGCCAGCAGCCTGCCAACCTCCATCATGGTGTCCTTGCCCACTGCACCTCCACCTTCCACCGTGGCTGCGGCTCGCTCAAACAACTCGCTCTCTAACCGCAAGCCAGGAGTCTTGCCTGCCAACCTGGAGGAGATGAAGGTATTTGGAAACAAACATGCACCGGAAAGCCCTTCACCCTTGTAGCTTGGGACAGCGCAGCCCAGCAGCTTAAAATTTATGAGTGTAGGTTAAAGAAAGAAATTACTCAGCTGTTAAAATTGCTGAACTGTGTCAGTATATTACACAGCCGGTACAAGAATGTTTTCATAGAAATCTGACCACTCCACATAAGATCAAGCTTTTGTCACGTAATTTAGAAAGTTTCACAAAGCAATGATGTCAACTGCTCAGAGTTAGATTGGAAGTTTGATGCAACTAGCAAGTTAGCTTAGCCTAGCTCCAGGAAGTCACTGGCCCAGTCAAGAAATAGATGTAGTCAGGTTTTCTTTCTTTACTTTAGATGGAACCAGGGTAGCTGTTTCCCTCTGCTTCCAGTCTTTGTGCTAAGCTAATTGGCAGCTGGCTGTAGCTTTATATTTAAAAGATATGAGAGTGGTTTCAATTTCCTCATTTAACTCTTGACATAAAAGTTAGACTTAAACTATAACTACACCTTTCATAAAACCCTGCTCCTCTAGCACAAGCCAATAATTGCTGATGTTTATATTTGTCTAGGTGGCTGAGCTAAAACTGGAGCTAAAGCTGCGTGGCCTCCCCGTGTCAGGAACAAAGACTGATCTGATAGAAAGACTGAAGCCTTTCCAGGACAATCCTAGCACCTCTGCTCCCAACACCGCTCCTGCTCCTGCCACCACCATCATCTCCTCCGTCCCCATGGAGGTCACCAGCACCACTACCACCCCTGCTTTAGTCCTCCCAGTCCAGCAGGCGGCTTCAGAGAGCATGAACCCAACACCGCCGGTCTCACCCAATCCCACCGATCCCTCCACCCACCACCAGGATGTAGGCATGTCTGAGGCTCCTGAAACACAAACGATAAGCTCTGGCTGGGCGGGTCAGCGGTCCTCGCCTCTCCTGTCCTTCCAAGTCCCAGAGGAAAAGGACAGGAGGCTCCATGAGAAGGAGCGACAGATCGAAGAGTTGATGAGGAAGCTGGAGCAGGAGCAGAGGCTGGTGGAGGTCCTGAAGATGCAGCTGGAGGTGGAGAAGAGGGCCAGCACTTCCGACTCTGCCTCTGTGTCTCCCAAACTCACCTCTGTACCTGCAATGAACCCTGTTCCCACTGTCCTGAGCTCAAATGTAGTAAAAATGGAGGGTACAGTCCTGTCTAACTGCTCATCCACTACTGCTACAATCCCTAACTCTATCCTGGGCTCCCAGACTCTTTCCCCTCTGCCAACTGTGGTCAAGTTGGAGGATGTGACTGTTTCCTCTGGCAAGCCGCTCCAGCTCCAGACCCAAACCCAGCTCCTCACCCAGATCCAGCCCCAAGCCCAGTCCCAAGTAACCACCAGCCCGCAGCTACTCTCTCAGTCACAGAGAAGTCCCAAACTCCAGACCCAACCCCAGTCCCAACCCGCAGCCCCCAGCCTGCAGCAGTTCTTCATCAGCCACACAGGTGGGGTGTCCCAGGTGCTGGGTCAGCCTCAGACCTTGTTAACCACAACTGGCCAGGCTGGAACTCAAATCCTGCTCCCAGTCTCACTACCAAACAACGCCACTGCGATCCAGCTGCCAAGCACCACTGTCAGCCTGCAGGTATTGCAATAAAGTTACATAATGTGTCGTGCTGTCAAACTGTTGGAGCGTGCTCTCCTGCTTTAGGGGGTAAAGATTCAGTGTAGTTTTACAAATTATATTTAAAAAAGGTGGATGAGTAGACAAAATAATTTTCTTACCCCCTTCCTCCTTATGTCAGCCTGTTCTTCAGGCCACGGTCTCAAATCCAGGCCTGGTGCAGGGCTCAGTTCCTCAGCTGCCAACCACTAAGATGGAGACGGCACCCAGTCAGCAGTTAGCCACCAACCAGTTGCTACAGGTCAGTCACAGCACGTAACTAGTTGCTGTGATGAACTGTTTGTGACTTTTGCTAATGTGTCATTGTGCCCTGCCCCTGCCACTGTCTTATGAGTTGTTGAAGTGTATAAAACAATCCTAAACTCTTTACTCTTATTAGGAAGTTATTAGTCAGTTAGTTCCAGTTAGTTCGTCTTAGTCATGATCATTTATCTGTAGAAACATACTTACTTTCACAGTTTGCATGTTTCACACTTTTCACAATCCAGTGGGTCAGCTGTGCCACAAGCTAATTAAGATAATGGTGTATAATTTACAAGTCTTCCCACACAAGGGTGTGTGTTGGTAAAACATGTCCCATTTGCTGTACTTTCACTTCCTCCTTTAAAACAACAGCTACATTTGTTTTTGTCCAGTATTACCACATGACGAATACGACTTTTGACTTTTTAAGGGACTTTCTGTCTTTTTATTTTTTTGTGTCTGTCTGGTTTCGCTGTTGTTATGATGATGTCAGTTCCATGATACATGATGGACTGATGTGAGACTCTGTCTTGTGTCTTGACAGACTTTAACTATGTGCAATAACACCACTGGTTTGGAGAACCAGACTGGACCAGAGATGAATCCCCAGTGTTTCCTGAGAAGCTCCCCAGAGAACAGGGTCTCTCCCCGGGCTTCACCCAACCACATCTCCAACGGACCCTTCAATAAGGTATCAGTGCTGAGTTATTACCTGAGAGGGTTTAGTTCAGTCTATCCTATACAGAGGGTCCTTAATTCTGCCTCTATATTCTCCATCTCTCTCTTATTCTTCCAGTCTTCTTCTCCCCAGCCTGCCTTCATCCTTCAGTCCACCTCGCTTATTACTCAACCTCCCAAGACAAGAGAGCCTCCCCGCTACGAGGAGGCCGTCAAACAGAGCCGCAACTTGCACGCCAACCATGTTTCACAGGTTAGCTACACACTAAGCACCACTCAGACCATGCCATACATTTCTCCAGCAGTACCTGCTGAGTCCTTCAGACAGTCTATATTTTTAGTTTTCCAGCCTTGAGGAGTTATTTCGAACCAGCTTTAAGTCTCTCAACCTCGTTGACTGTCCTTTCAGGTTCCCACGGCAACCAGCCAGCAAATGGATGACTTGTTCGACATTCTCATAGAAAGTGGAGGTAAGGAGGTACACACTGACAGTACAAACCCAGAACATTGTGTTTAGTTTGAGCAAGTTGGTCTCAGGAAAACGCTGAGGAAGCTGCTGTGTAGGCAGCATTACATCTTATGCTAACAGAATTGGACTGATTATGAGTGATTCATATTGTCTTGGCCAATACACAAAAAAAGTAGCACCAGTTTCTGAGCTTACTGTCCCACTGTGAACAAGCTATTCTATAAAATCTGATTAAAAAAGTCTCTGTCAGTGCCGGTCTTCAAAGGAGCACTCCCTGGTTGTACCCTCATGATAATCCCTGTTTTTATCCCTCCCCCTCTCCCCAGAAATCACTCCGTTTATCCAGCAGGACCCTTCAGTGTCTGTCACAAAGACAGTCCCAGTCACAGCAAACATCACCACCCTACCAGTCAACACTGCCCTCTCCAGGCCGCCTCCACAGATCCAGTTGGCCCCTCCGCCCACCCTGAGCCCCATCATCGGCCATAGCCTGCCCAGCCTCTCCTCACTGGCCACAGACAATCAGCTGGAGGCCTTTCTGGAGGGCACGCTGGCCGATACGACGACAGCGACAGACCCGCGCACACGGGGCTTGATGGAGGAGCTGCAGGCCCAGCTGATGGACCAGCAACCCTACTCACCCATGGACACATCAGACCTGTCCTTCTGCGATTCCTCCTCGCCCCCTTCCTCGCTCAACATGGGCCTGTCTGACCCGGGCCTGGACAATATGGAGTGGCTGGACCTCACCATGCCTCCTGGTCCCGCCGGGGCCCTCACACCTCTGGGGATCCCAACGGACTTCCTGGATACACACGACCTGCAGCTGCACTGGGACTGACGGAGGGATGGATGAAAGAAAAAGAAAGATTGAGTGAAGGGAGCTGAGCCTGGAGCGAGAGATGGATGGATGGATGGATGAAGAGAAGAGAAGAAGAAAGGGGCCGACAGCCGACAGAGTTTGAACATTTTAAATAAGGAAGCAGAAGGAGGAGAAAACATGGTATTTCTGTGCCATATCACTCTTTCCAGTACATCCATACCATCTGTAATATTCCCACTAACTACAGTAAGAAACGCTGTACAGGCAGTGCACTGATTCAAGCTGAACTACGAGCAGGCGTTTGAACAGCTTTAAAACAAGGTCTGTTATGGCTGAACCAGAGCCAGAATAAGGTCATCACCAAGGTGATGGTGGTCACCTGTAGTATTAGTGATAAAGGGGTTTTAAACAGAGTAGACTTTTTCAGTGTCTGATGTCATGGTTTTAATGGTCACTTACAGAGACGAGGAGACAGCCAAATGAATACTGGTAGCACAGACTGTTTGTAAATACACTTTAAACCACACTAATACAACTTCACTTTCTCTGGGACAGAGAGCCTGAATAGTATTGATGATAGTGAAATTGACCGTTGTTGTTTATACTGGAGGTTTGGCTGGTTGGCTTCCAGTGAACATTGCATCAATTTTACTGTGCAAACACAGTAACCAATGTTAAATGGTTCATAAATACTTTTGCATGTGGTCTGATGTTCCACTGAAGTATACTGTGCCATACCAGGTTATAAAAGCTGGTTGTTACTACACATTAACTATGTCACTATAAAGGCAGTCCCGGTTAGCGGATGAAAAATGAAATCTAGTTGTAATTACGAAATTTATCAGCTTCTCACTAAAAATGCATCAGAGGCTTGTCCTGGGACATGGGTTTGTCAGGATGTCCGCACAGCCTCAGATACTCTCCTGGGACAGACTCAGTCAGTGGAAGTGCTTTGACCGGAAGCGAGGCACGTTTTTAAAGGGATTCACTAGCTGAGAGGAGGTCAAGCCTCTGTTCACACTGGTCTAGTCTACCACATAGTGTAGATTACATGTTTGCTGACTAATCTGATACGTTGCATCAGAGGTGACTGTTTCCTTCTAAAAGACCCCTGCGGTCAAGCTGATGAACCATTGACTAAAGAACAAAGACTGGACTTGGAGTTGGACGACGAGAGGAGCGAGCTCCTCCACCTACGTGAGAGCTATGCACTAAAGAGGCGGGGAGATTCGACAACGCGCCTCATCTGCCTCGAACAAAGAAAAGGTGAACTTTGCATATCCGAGGCGATCGTTAATATGAAGTGATCAATATGGCTGGCGATGGGCGTTAAGATCCTGTGGCCAAATGCTCCAGAGATACTGCAGTTGTTGTCCAAGTATCTTCTTTTGAATGTAATGAAAAGATCAAAGAAAAAAAAAAATAGGACTAAACTCACAAAGTTGGCAGCTTTTTTTCTCGTGATAGTGAACTGGCGTAAAACAGTGGAAAGGGAACAAATATCAGTTCATGACACACGCAGACACACACTTACGTAGGTGGGAACGCTGTGTGTGCTGCAGGTTGTGTCAAGGAGTAAAGATGTCTTTGGAGATGAGCTTTATATCTAGCTGTCCTACAGTATCCCTGCACTTTGTCTCTGTGTGTGTGTGTGTGTGTGTCAAGGTGGGAAATTACTGCTTCACTAGCCAACAAACATGCTAGTTAATAATTCCCTGTAGCTGATATGTTAGTCTGCTTTAACAGCCTCTACAGTAATATTTGGCTGGTGAAACAGTCTAACTTGTGATCGGCTGCTGTGACCTGCGGACAAAGTTGGTTTCCTCACCGAGGAGTGTGTGAGAGAGAGGCAAGAAAGCATGTTGGTCTGTGTGTGTGTGTGTGTGTGTGTGTGTGGATGGATTTGTCTTCCTGTCTCTTGCATGTACACCCTGGGTCCCTGTGTGCATGATTGTATTCACGTTTAATCTCGGGCAGTTTCGAGCTCTTTCTCAGACGTCGCCCGCAAGTTGTGTGAAGAAATCTGCTAATATCTTTAAAAAAAATCATTTGCTATCCAGTCGACATATTTAAAGGCTTCTGATGACTGTTTACTGTTTTTATCTGTATTGTTCGGTTGGTGTCCTACAGTCAAAAAACGCACACACACCTTTGAGGTGTGATACGCAGTGGGGCGTCGGCACAGAGGGCTTATCTGCTTTAAAAGCCGTCATAAATTCTAGATGTTTATTTTTAATGGATTGCATCATATCCCACTCAGTTTTTTTTTTTTTTTCTAACCTAAATATTGAGTTACTGATTCAGTATCTCAGTTTAAAGATTCTTATGGGATAGATACAGTCTTTACTGTATGGCACTTTGAAATTTTTTTAAATCAGTCATGTCCAGTGAAATCTCATTTCTAGAACATTTTAACCACTTTATTCTGTCATTACGTCCAAGGGCACTAGAGGGCGTTGCCCCTCTTCTGTTGTGGCTTCACGGCACATTTTCAGTGGCTGTTGGTACTTCAGGGTCATTTCTAGCAGGAAACCATTAAATGGGGGTGTGTTTTTTGGGGGGGATTTTTTTGCATTTAAAACAAATGTGTTTTTTCCTGTATAATGCTGATTAGCTTTTCATGTCAGCAATAATGTGGTGACCTGAGCAAAAACTGATTGAGAGCCCTTTATGTGAACACTGTCTGGTCAAAGAAGTGCGATGCTCTTACCGCTGCACTCACACATGTATCATCAGATCAGGCCAAGACACATGGATGTGCCCAAATCTATTACGTTTGACCACCTTAAAAGAGTTTCGCCAAACACTGCACGGACCTGCTTCCTGGGCTTTGTCGTATTTCAGTTTTTGTTTTTCATGTTAACCCACCTGTTTAAGGCCCAGTCAGAGATGGCCTCATTCTATTGGTCACCTCTGGTTGGTGCACCTTTTGGTTGAGTCGCGTCGGGGGTTTGTAGACCCCAGTATACCTGCTTGCGGGTCTAGTTGTATTTCTGTTTTGTTTTCCCACATTGTTGCAACCTACATAGGATGAACAGTCACTAGTTGATTCATGTGTATCCTAGAAGAGAGAGTTAATAGTGTTTTCTTTCTCAACTCTGTCAGCTTTAAGGCTATCAAATTAGATATTTTGTTGCCAAAAGGGCAGTGGAACATATTATCACATTTTGTTAATGTTTCTCACATTTTTTGTATTTATCACTTTTCTTTTTTTAGCGTGGAAAGTAAAAGAAAAAAACATTTAATCTTGTTTTCATGCTTATGTAAAAACATTGTAAAAGATTGAGTGTGTATATTTTTGGTTTGCAGAGTTTCATTTTGTTTTTATTTTATTTTATTTTTCATATCGGACATACACAAACCTCTTGGCTGCAGCAAATCTACACATGTATGTGATTCACACTCGATGTGAACCATTGTGGTCGCTGACTGGCCAGACAGGGACAGCTAAAAGCAATAATGGCTGCTCTCCCTTGATATACTGTACTGTATGTCAGATCCTGCCTTGATTTTATTAATGTAACAGCTTTTACAGAGTAATACAGTTTAACAGTTCAAAAGCACTTGCGTCTGAGTGGTTGAACAGAGGTCTCTTGATGTTGGAGGTCTGTGGAAGCACCATCAGTCTGAAGAGCACACTAAAGGTTTCTGGAACGTTCCTGTGAGCTTCTTCACTTGCGTAGTTGGAGTTAACAGGCGTCGGCTCAGGCTTCCCCGTATTGACTTCAGCTCTCTCACTTGTCCTCCTTCACCTGCGCCATTCATCAAGACACAGTTTCATTAAAATACACTTACTTAGGCGACATTACTGGAAGCACAGAGGAGGTTTCTCAACCCTCATCAGCTGACTTACATCCTCCATCGTAGCAGAGTCTCCTCTCCATGCCCACCACCCATGCCATGCCTCTTGTTGTTTGTATGCCATATGTTTTGCACATTGTGTACATATTTATATAGATGTAATGCATATTTTTATACATGTGTAACATCCATGGGTTCTCTATTTTGTAAATACTCAAAAAGATGTATATAAGTACTGTATGCCTTTATGTGTCAATAAAATTTGGTGTACTGTGAACTCCTCTGCAGAGGTTAAGAGTTACTGAGTAATTCACATTTTTCTATAAATACATTACAAACATTATGAACAGTGTCGCTTTTCCAGTAACAGGTGAGCCTGCGGAAACAGAAGAATGAAGGAAGCCACTACATTTGAATTGTGTTGTGGTTTACAGTGTATGAAAACTGTTTGTGGCCCATGTTTGCATATCTTCAGTAATATATTTACATTTTGCTTTCAGATAATGGATGTTCCCAAAAGTATGTTGTCCCTACACCAAGGGTCATTGTATGGTTGATAGACAACCAATAAAGCTGTATCCTAACATAAGCAGCAAACGGGCCTCAACCCTTTTTAGTTTAGGAATCGTTTTTTTGCTGCAGCCTTTGTATCTGACACATTAAATGAGCAGTATTTTGCGTCCATGCAGATATTCAGGCAAACTGATGCTGACTTTTACAATATGAGTTTTAGCAGCGACATCACAGGTGCGGTCAAAGAATAGTATGTTTGATTGTCTGAGCCTTTGTGCAGTTTGTATCAGCGCTGCAGTTGCCATTGTAGAGTCGAACGTGAAACAAGCCCCTCCCAGACGAAAAGCAAAGTGTGAAAATGCTTGTGGAGTTTCCTTAATGTAGTGTTGGTGGGGCAGGGGAGTAAAAGTCCAAGAGTCCCAAACAAGTCCAAGATCACAGGAAAGGGTCACTCGAGGACAGAAGGAATGGTACTTCAGGGGCTGTTCTAACCCCCGTGTCAAAATGGCCGGTAGGTGTGTATGAGTGCCTGGCACCTGGGACACCGGTGTTGGACGTTCCTCAGACGGTCCATGAAGAAAGGGATTAAACAGCAGCCTGCGACACACCTGCGAGGAAGGAAGAGAGCGGTGATGTGTCACTGAGCTCTACAACAACTAGTTTGTGTTTAATACTGACTGTAAAACACTTGGGATAACAGTGGTCAGCTTAAACATCAAATCTACTGACATTAAAGACTAACATCAGTCAGGCAGCAATATCTATCTAAAATTAGCTAACAATAGCCACCAGGAGCTAATGGTCACACCAGATCAAGTAAGGCTCCAGAAGCGAAACCCCTGAGCGTTTCTTTATTTATCGGTTTAACTTTTTGTCTGGAAGAGGAAGAATGTGTTATTCTTTCTTCCAACAGTGACATACTGACTGAATTCTAAAAGGCCTTTTTCACAGCAGTCATTTTGACATGAAGTAGTAGGGTAATCACAGGGGTTACCAATGATACTTATTAAGGCTCCGTTCCATTTAGTGTAGCAGAGCCTTTCTAGTGAGCCAACCTGCACAATAGCAGCACCTGTTTGACCTGAATGGAACGGAACCGAACAGAACCTTAATTCGTAGGTAAGACAGTGTTTACCCTACTATTTCATGTCAAAATGGCTGCTGTGAAAAAGGTATATGGGTAGCATTTGGCAGCAAAAAAAAGAGAATAAAAATCTGTCCACCAGGCAGCGCATTGATATTTGAGTTTTAAAGTCAACATAAAAGAACTGACCAACACCAAGAAAGGTCAAATTACCTGCGAACAAACAGATTAATAGACTACAAAAATGAAGTGTCCAATAGGGTAAAATCTCCTGGCTGTAGTTTCATAGATATGAGGCTCTTGGCCAGAAAGCGAATCAGCTTATTTCACAAAACGTCAAACTGATCCTTTACAGGCTAGTTTTAACTAGCAGCCTGATAAGGTCAACCATTTCTACAGCCATTCAGGTCAGAGAAGACGTACCCCAATATGGTGCATATGTAGCAAAGTATCCACATAGCCTCGCCCCTTTTCCTGCAGGTCTCTGTGAAGACAACTTCTTGACAGGATGGACACTGGGTCACAGCTGGCATTTGACCTAGACTGTCCGCTTTCCCACGAGAGAGACAGATAATTACCGATCCAACAGACACTCTGTTTTAGATTTAAACGAAGACTATTACATGTGTGTATGTGCGTGTGAGGTGGTGTGAGGTACCTGAGACGATTGGGCCTTTTGGTTCTTCTGCTGCAGGCCTAGTTTTTTCTCTCCAATCCAGTGCAATGTCCTCCTCTGTCAGCTGGGGAGGTGGCAGCAAGTAGATTCCCCCACAGGGTGTCTCAGTTTTACAAAAAGTGGGACACACATCCTGTTGACCTGATTCAAAACACGAGAAGTTCAAACACACAGTGAGATTACAGATGCATTAGGCAATATATTCATATGAAAAAAAGGGGGCTGCTTTATCGGAAAGCAGGGTTGCCATTCGGAGGGTACCATCGCTGAGCTTGGAGCTCTTTCCCTGTTTCTCCAACTCTTCCTTTTTAACCAGCAGCTCTTCCAGCTCCTTCTGAATGGCCTCCAGCTCGCACGGTTCGCCGCTGTCATCGCTGTTCACTGTTGACACCACACAGACAGAGGAAATTTACAAAGGTTAAACAGATCTATAGCAAGGTCGGGTATCTGTAAAACATTGTTAATAGACCTTTTTCACAGCAGCCATTAAGACATGAAATAGCAGCCTTTCCAGCAAGCCAGCATGCACAATTGTAGCAGCACTCTGAGTCACGTAACAGAACCTTATTTGGTAACACCCAACTATTTGGCTGCTGTTATTATTTGCCTATTTGCCGGGTATGAACTGATTTTGACTCGATAGTGTCACATATTCTGCCAAAAAACTTTACAAGTGTGTTAGAGATCAAATTGAAGGCCGAGTTTGAAGATGGGTGGTCCGACCCACGAGTGGACTACTTAGGACCCATGTAATAATGTAGAAACAACTACTGAGTACTCATGCGATGTAGTATTGATTACTGGGTATTCGTGGGTCTGAATGTCAACATGTTGGGGGTAAAGGTGAATAAAGGTTTTTTACCTACTTAGCTAACTTGTGCTTTATCAATTATAAAATAAAATTAGCAAGTAAAAGATAATAAAGAAGAGTACATGAAATTGAGTCTTAATTTATTTTATCAATCGATTGCTTTTTGTTAAGGAAAAGTATAAAGCTTTATATTTCTTTTTGCACTCCATTTTGATAGCTTCACTAGCAGTACGTGTTGGTGTATTTGGGCCTCCATAGTTCTCAACCTTGAAATTTTCAAAACACCTAAATCAGGGGTCGGGTTTTCCATTCAATCAAGCCATTAAGTTTTAATTTACTACAATGGACCTCCTACAAAATGAATGAAAAACGTATTTTTCATTTATTATTATAATTTATTATTTTTTATTTTAATAAATTTTAAAACCATGAATTTGTAAACTGAAATACACACAAAGGTTAATAAGAGACACACCAAAAGTACAGAGCAATGCAGCAGCTGCCAAAATAATATAAAATATAAAAATGATAAATCACTCACAGCTCAAACTGTGATACATTGTTATCTTTTTAAGAAGTTTGGGAATTATGGGCTTATTCGAGTGGACTGATTGATTGTTTTTATCACTGAATTAAGGGAGCGACTCACTTTCCTCTGTGGTCCCACCACTATTGTCTTCTACTTTCTTTATTAAGTGCTGCTGCTCCAGCAGAATGAGACGCCGGTTGTGAAGCTGCAGTATACGGGACTCAATGAAGACCTGCGACGGGGGACCTTTCCTTGTCTCTGGTATCTCCTGGTTGGATTCAGGCTGGGTATCAGGCTTAGAGTCATCCTGCTGCTCCTGCTCTTGTTCTGGGTTTAAACTGCCATCTGCGTTTAACCCCACATCCTGGTCTGGGATTTCCATCCTGTTTTAAAGACCTGAATCAAGGTGTTTTTTTAAGTAGCTGTAACCGCACACTAAATCCTCAAACTGTAGGGACGTGGACTATGAACCAAAACCAGCTTAAGAACAGCTAAAAATAAGAGAATCTGAATCCAGGCTCAAGTCCTTCTGGGAAAAGTTTAGGTTTCAAAGCTCCATTTTTCATTTGCAGTCCAGACAAATGAAAAGCAGGATGATATAAAACATTTGTGGTGATGTATCATAAAAATCTGTCTTCTCTCAAAATTATTCAAAAATGTCAAGGCATTGTAAAATAGACTCGTCCGAATGATACTTTTCCATCATTTGGCCAGTCCCGGCTGATGACACTGACAGTAGCTAGGACACGAGCGTCACTTAATCATTTAAATACGTGCACAAATAGATGAGACTGTAAAATATGCAAATGTTGCCGGCCTGGAGCGTATGCAGGGACAATGCTTGCATTAAGAGGAGACTGTGTGTCATAAGGTGTGAACAGGAGCTCAGCGATACCATGACATGATTTGACACTTGTTTTGGTGCTGTGGGGAAGTACATTTTCATTGTAGCTGAGCAGGATTAATATTCCATCTTCCTATTTTTGGCAAGGTGGATCACAGTCTTTTGTTCGACAGGCTGGTTGGTAAAAAATACAACACAATGCAAAGTAGTGGAAGGTCAGATGACCTCAACAAAATGTTTGCAAAAAACACTGAAGACTTTGGTCTGTATTGAACTCACAATATCACCTATGTTAGTGATGCATGTTACATTGCATGCTCACTCTAAAGACTGCCTTTACAGATATTCATACTAATCAGGTACCAACCAATTTAAAGGCCTTTTCAGCCCTTGGACCACTTTTGACTGGTACTGACCTCTGCAGGCTGGGAACACTCCACAACATTTTCCTGCTTCTAACACATCACCTACCTCATCTACCTTGAAAGAAGACAAAAAAGTGATTCTTCTGAAATATATTTTGTAGATTTTTGTCTGATAAATAAAGGAATCTTTTTCAATTTGTCTTCAATCCCATTTTGTTTTTAAAGAAATGTGTACAAATCATATTCTGAATTGTAGCAAAACATGAGTTGAGTATATCGTTGCACCCCTACTAAAATGGTCTATAGAGCAGAGTTGGTTCATCACTCTGAGCGACATCTTTCATATTATATATAACTTGATCCAAAGTTAAAAATAAAAGTAAGAGTAAAAATATTCATTAGTGCAGCTTCAGAACTTGAAACCAAGTTTTCAGGGGCTTTGAAATTAAGTGGAGCAAAAAGAACAGACACCATGAGTACTTAAATGTGAGTTTATATACTTGTATATTTATTTAAATGTGTTTTTAATTATCTGAAATGATCATTTATTTGTTTCAGAAGTTCATATTTTACTGAAGAGGAAAATATCTAATTGAAATTTAGATTGCTCAAAGTCTGATTTGTCATGGCACAACACATTCCCGTTTCTTAATGTACTTCAAATAAAATAGTAAATATAGTAATAAAAAGATAAAATATATATACTGATATATTTGCTAACTCATTCGCTAACTGAAGAGTTTGATCTGGTGAATGTATTTAATCATTAACCCTTAATAAGTACTTAGATACATGTATGCTGATAAAACAGAGTTCAAAGGTCATATAGCCTCACTCTGCGTAAATCCTTTTCGATTATTGGCATAAAAACCACATGAACCTTGGGGTGTTTGGTAGCACATAGTGTACCGGCTTGTTCAACTGTGAAATGTGGTAGTTGGCCCCAGATGTCAGTAGCCAGCCGCCGTAGTAGCATCAATAAAGCCTGGAGCGAGTTTATAACAACAGCAGAGCAGATGATGTCTGACCCATATTCCACACACAAAATCACTCCACACACATTGGTCTGAGTGACAATAACAGACAGTAATCTCATGTCCATAAAGATAAGGAGTGTATTTCATAAACCTTATCGGTGACCTCTTCATTTCCGCTGTGTCTTTTTATACCACTTTACAGTTTGATGAGGTGCTGTCATCAGCCTGTGCTTCTTGGAGCTCATCTGGGCCACCGCACTCAGGCCGAGCAAACACAGATGTAACACAAAGAGGTGAGCAAGAAATCAGGATTATACATTTGGACGTTTTTGAGTGTTAAAAGAAAGCAAAACGTCAGAATGATGGTGTTCTAGCTGCTGACCACTAGATGTCAGTCTCTTACACTAAAGGAGTGGGTCAGGCCTACGGAGGATTATGTGCTTAGTTTACAGGGCTGACGTCACTCGTCCTGCAGTGGCAGACCTCCATCCGTCCATTCATTCACCCATCCATCTATTCTTTCATTCATCCCTCAGTGCCTGTACGAACCTGAAATATTAAGGAGCTTTACATAAGCCTCATATTTGTCTTTCTTTCTCTCCTTCCAGCTTTAAGACTCACTCCGCTCTGCACTTCCACCCCACACGCTACGTCCACTGTACACATTTAAAACACAGGCATACACTCCCAGACCTAATTTCTCAGCTTCTGGTTTGTGTGTGTGTGTGTGAGATGCATACAGATCAAATAACAGTAAAGTATGTGTGTGCACCACCTGTCAGGGTATTAGTCACCCAGGGAAGAATACACACAGTCATTGATGGTTAATGAGCTTCATTATTCAGCAACAAAAGGTTCTCACGTATCTTTGAACAATAGCGTTACTGTAATAAAGTAAATGTTAAACACTTGGACCAGTGTTGCCTCCTCGACCTGAAACAATTCAAAATACGTGTTTGAAGTACTAATTTCAGGGCCAGCCTTAGAGTTTTTGGGGTACTAAGTCGAACTTGTCCCCATTGTCCCCCACTTCACAGGGATTCATTCACCCCAAAATAATTACTTTTTAAATGAATTGCACTTTTTTCTCCTGCCCCTCCAGCTCTTTTTACCCACAAGCATCAATTCTGAGGGATATTTTTTCCTTCTTTTCCAGTTTCATGTGTGCTGTATGTGAAAATAAAGATAAAACACGTCCAATATTCTCTTCTTTTTCTCTGCTGTGTTAAACTGCAAGCAAAGAATAAATGTGCAGAGACATTACCAACAATTACGTTCACTGAAAAAAAGACAGAGCAAAAATATATATTAACATTTTAACTGTATTATAACTGTAAAACTGCTCTAATA